TTTATTATATTTAAGTTATTTGCATATACATAATTAAATCTATCAACTATAATTTGATGTTCTTAAGTCTGTGCAAAGATATTACGATTTCGATTTACTTTTGATCGCCACTGTAAATCGAAATTTTGCATAGCGCGGCTTTTAGATGCGATATTTCGATACCCAGTGATCGGAATCGCATAAAAATACCACCATCTGATACGTCTCATTATGTCGAATCAAATGGTAGTAATTTTGTGCGATAACGACCACTGAGTATCGAGATATAACATATTTTTCTTTCGTTTTAATACTTAATGATTTTTGTATTGATGATAAATATTTTTATAAATTTAAGTTTTCTCAAGAACTACTGTATGGAAATTCTTTTTCTTTTTTTTGTTTGAAAGTAATACTTTTCGAGAATTTAAATTTTTTAATTTTGGTTTAATATTTTGCTTATTTAATAGTGTCCACAATATTCTGCTAGGGCGCTGTAATAAGAATAAATAAATGAGACAAATAAAATCATTGTGAAATACTTACTTTGCTCTTCCTCCTCAATTTCTTTGACCAAACCTGCGATGCTTTCAGTCGGCCTTTTTTAACCATCTTGCATAAGCTTATCCACATTTAAGTCAAAGGAAGGCACGACCAGCAAACTTTATCTTTTTGATTGTATTGATGTCTTTATCATCAAAAAACAGGTCACAGACTCCAGAAAAATAGTAACATTCTTCGGCTCCATTTCTTAACTTTTTTACTGACGGATTACTTGACATGATATTTGAATAAAAATAGTACATGTAGTACAATAAGTGCAGATCCAGAAGAATTTTTTTGGTAGGAAAGAGTCATACAAAAACAGATCACGCATGCATAATTTCCGAATTTTTCCTCATGTAATGCTAGTTGTTCCATCATAACAAGCATTCTATAATCAATGTTGCTAATAGAGAGTACTGATATTAACGAGGTTGTTATTAGAGGAGGCAGACTGTACTTTCAAAATTCATTGGTCATTCAGAAATCTTCAATTGACTGGTGAATTTAAGATTAGAAAATTTATCAGGAAAGAATTGGTTAATTTTTCCTAAAGATAAAGAAAATTACCTGGAAAGATCATGTTAACTTTCTATTTCTTCAAAATCTAAAAAACAAGTTCATGAATTATCAGATTTCATCAAGAAAACACTAGCCAGCTTTTTTACTGATGAAATCCGGAACTTTTCTATTCAAGATTTCTAGAAATTCCCTATATACAACAATAACAATCAAGTATTTAGAATATCATTGAACCAAATTTTATTACCTAATGAGCGTCACTACAATTTGAGAGACAATCAACAAAATATTTGAAGTTAGACGAGTTCAACAAACAAGCAATCAATAATTTATTATACTTGCTCAATAAATGTTTGAATTTTCTTTTCGTTATTGCATGTATTTACATGTGCATGTGCATCTACTGATAGTGACACAAACCAGCTGATTTGGTTTACGTACATGTATTTAGTCATCGTCATGTTTACCTGTGCAACGCATAAATGTGTGTGTGTTTTCTTCTAAAAAATAATCAAGAAAAATACAAAAGCAACCCGGATGTACCAAATCTTAATAATTCGAAACACTAATTAAACTTGAATAAATCAAAGTGGGTTCTAGGGACAGTTATAGTCGATAAACGTTGTTGTTTATCGAGTTTGCATTTGTAATTCGTATGCATCCTAAATTGTATATACAATTACGTCGCATCGAAAATACGTAGTTAAAAATTATGGGAGAATCGTTAGCCAAATCAATTCTTGAGGTACCACTCGATGTCCCACTCGGCCTTATTCTAAAAAATAATTCGGAGAAACTACAAGAGATAGCGATAAACACAAACACATCTGTGAACTTTACCAGGACTAACTATAATCCACGAGTAGAAATTTTGCCGAGACGAAGAGAACCTGCAACTACGAGAAGAGATATGGAAGATGCGCGAATCCAAGTAGAATGTCTCTTTGCAAATAATATGCGAACTGTGCCACATCTCAAAATTCCAATCAATATTTATCGTTCGCATGCAACTTTTGTCGAGGATTTGTTATCACCAACGTTGCGAAAAATCAGTGACAAACATAAGGTCGACGCGTTACCGAGAATTTATAAAAATGAGGCGTACGTGGTTTTCCTCAAGAATAGAAAAGATCCGAGGAGTGTAATCGATAAGCCGAAAAGAGAAGTCGAACGATTTCTGGCGAGGTTTAGTTATCCTGAGCCAAGAATACATATACCAGAATCTATAGAATTACCCATTCCTTTTGATCAAGATATTCTAACCCTTAATCTTAACGAATTTAAGGATAAGTTTCAAAAGGAAATTCGTGATATCGAAAATGAGACAAATACAATTATTGAATACGACTATGAGAAATCGAATATTCTGATTAAAGCAGTTGAGTTCTCTAGCAATGTACGAGCCAAGAGGTTCGAAGCGTATCAATTAATGAAGGAATTGATATCAAAGATCAATAAATCCAAATCGAAAAATCAAGATGGTAAAGAACTTTTATATGATACAAGCACTCTAAATTTTGCGATAACGATTAATTTGAAGTAATTCATATTGCAAATTTTGAAAATCGCCGCGGACACCGCATCAGCATCTTACGAAGAATCTGAAATTGTGCAGAACCCAAAACGAACCGACTCTTTCGATAGCGACGTGTCATCGGGTTCTGAAGTTAAAGAAAATTCTCATAATTTAGATGCATCTTTTGATGAGATTAAATTGGAGTTCGATTTCAAATATTCAAAAAAAGGTGAGCTGGAAATTCATCTATTCCTTAAAAAGCATTGATCACTAAATTTTGATAGTTTCCAACAATTCAGAATCAGATATGCTTTACACTCAATCACCTCAATCACCTCATGATGAGTTTCTTACGAAATGGCGTTGGTTTAGGGGTGAATGGCTGCATAGTGGATATTATAAGCAATTTGAGTCTCTTTTTGGGAGTAAATAGAATCATTTTATATTTAACATTAATTTATATAAAAATTCGTTAGGTTTTATTTTCATCTTTTGAAATTATAATTCGACAAGACGAGTGAATTTGATATTGTTTGAAACAATGTATTTAATTATAAATAAAATAAAAAGGAATTTGCCCGATTTGGAAAACGGATAAAAAGCATAGTCACACCCCGCAAATATCAATACCCCGTGATTAGCAACATTGATTATAGTAATAGAACGGAATTTTTATTATTTAAATTCCCTTACAAATATCAACTTTTATATGATCCCTCTTTAATATCAATATCAACCTAAATGCCGGTCCCCGCATAGAATTATTTACATCCTCAAATATCAAATTTCACGCGATCATTTTTTTTAGATAATAATAAGAGTCATGACTTTTGATAAGAACAACAATCCACAGTTCATATTGTTTAAATTATTTATTTATATTCACTTCACAAGGTTTCTCTCCCCCATAACATTTATAAATTCCCAATTTTTTTTTCTTCAGCACCAGTAAATATACAGATATCTCTCTTCCCTTGTAACATTATAAATTTTCCATCGTTTTTTCTTATATTATTAGTAACAAGAATAATATTTCTAGTATTTCATGATCTCCTATCCCACATATTGGTTGGAGTTCAAACTATTCTTCTCCTGGTATAAAGTTCACATTGTAAGTAACGATAATAGTTATGAATAGTAATAATAGTTATAAATGATGGTATGAACAAGGTAACAGAGTAATTACAAAAGAAGTAAATATACTTGGCTATAAAGTCCAAGCAAGAAATTTATAATAAAATCAGACTGATCCAGCTTTTATACTTGAGAAACTTATTAAGAATTATAACTGTAATAAAAGTATAATTTCAAAAATTTTAAAAACCAAAGAATTTTTATTTACATAATTAATTATATTTAAAGTAATAAAAAAGTCTAATCACTTGGCAAAATTCACAGATTTAGAAGTTACTTTGAGTATCTGAATATAATAGCTTTTTTTTCAAAATGCAATCTTAACAAATGAATTTTTATAATTATAAATAAAGAAGTTCATAATATTATTAAATATTTCTGAGAGTGACTTTAAAATAAGCAATAGCTGGCTTAATAAATTTAAAAATAATATGAACTTTGATAATTTAGAATTTATAATGAGTTAGAAAGTATACTGATTAAAAAATTTCCAAATAAAAACAAGAATTAGTTAAATTACTTGCATAATATAAATCAGAAAATATTTATAATACTAATAAAACTATTTTCTTTTTTTAAATAATATCTAATAAAATATTAATAATCAAGATTATTAAAAAAGAAAAAAGATAAGAATTAAATAATTATATTGTTTTGTATAAATATAATTAATACAGATAAACTGATATTATTAGTTATTAAAAAGTTAGTAAAATCAAGATATTTCAAAAATATTTCAAGAGTAAATCTTGTTATTGAATATTAGATCAATAAAAAAATGTAAATAAAAAGTAATATCTTCAAATACTAAATAAAATTTCTAAATATTATTTTTAGAATTAAATATAAAAAAATTTTGCTTTTGATTAATAATACTACTTCTAATATATTAAAAGAAAATTAAAGAATATCAAGTTTATTTTTTGTTATTTAATATAATAATTATTTATAGTTATATAATACTAAGATTATTAACTTATTCAAAACTCACTATTAGAAGTTATATCTTTAATATATTTTGAATATTATGAATATTAGAAAAGAAATATTCTATCTTAATAATAAGAAAGTAATCAATTTACTGCTAAATTATAGAAAAATATAATTTTTTAAATAATTATTAATTACTAATAAAAAACTAAAATAGTATTAGTAAATGAATAGACTTGAATAAATTCAGATATGCATAGCAAAGAAATTATTGATCTCAGAATAAATATTAAAGAATTGATTTCTAATATCTCTTCTTTAAATATTCTAATATAATAACTAAAAAATATATTTATATTGATAATAATTTGGAGATTAAAGAAGTTATTTTAGATGAAAAGATTATTGTCAAGAAAATTCTTTAAATATTTAATTCTGATGATAATAACAAAGATGCAAGATTGAAATAAAAAAATTTCTAATTTTACAATCTTCAAATAATGCAAATTACTTTTATAATATATCAAATTACAAGATTCAATCAAATTTGTAGAGAAGTAAAACTTGCCAATATTATAAAGTTTATTATAATATATTCAAGTAAAAGTATTAGAAATAAAATAGCAAAAAAATTGATGGATTTTTTTTAGGAGTTTATTCTGGAAGTAAAGTGATATCTAAGAGATTTTTAACAATATAATGATCTTTTTTTAGAAGGAAAATGAATATAGCAAGATAGAAATCTATTTTAAGAGGATAATAGAATGAGATAAAATAATAAGATAGGATAATGATTAATTATGAGATACAAGGCAAAACTCAATAAGATGAAGGTCGGGGGCAGAAACAATTTATTTGGCTTATTAAGATTTTCATTTTACCAAATTTCGCACAAAGCCGAATTTATATATAATAACAAATTTGGTAAACCAGAAAAACTTCGGCTTAATGCAATTTCGGCTTAGCGTGACTTCTTCTTGACGAGTTTGCCTTGTAGTAATAAGACTCAATAGGAGTAATAGAGTGAGATTTGAGCGAGTAATAAGCATTTGAGATTTATTTTAGAAGTGAAAGCCTGGTAAATAAATAAAGCTTGTTAAATCAATTGATTAATTGACTAATCAATCAATCAAACCCTAACCTAATCATAATACCTCTTAATTATCAACCCCTGAATATAACAACAAAAATGCTTGGTTCCATGAGGTTGATATTTGCGGGGTGTGACTGTAAATGTAATTGAATTTCTTTTATAACTATAGATTAATAAAAATTGACTTTTTTCATAATCAGAAATAAATCTTAAAAGTTACTCTAAAAATTTGTCTTCATAATTTTCTATTTTGGTATCATAATCTACATAATTTCACAGCTTTCTATCATAAAATAAACATAATTGTGCGTAACGGGTACGGTAAATGGCGACTCTCGATAAACAGGTTTGAGATCTCACTCGATACTTCTTACCAAATGCATAACATCCAATTAATATATACATGTAATTTTAGACTTTGAAAAACTAATATTAAGCTTGTAGGTTATAATTGAAAAAATTATAAAAATAACGTAGAAATACAGTTTTGTTCAACGCCGTGCCGCCGTTTTTTGATACACACTGTATCTATAAATACCAACTTCATACACTAAATTGTATTTCAAAATTATTTTTCTCTGTCATTAATCTACAATACGTAACTGTGCTGTACATTGATATTTTCTAAGTACATGTACACGGTATACTATTTAAATCTAATCTATGTGGAATCTTATCTTATAATTAAAGATATTTATAACTGTCGCATATATTTTGGTCAAAAAAAATTCTTAATACCTATCGATGCTTACTTGTAATATTTACAAAGTTACGAGATTTTTTTTATCATTTATGAGAAATTAACTTCCTAATTCTTTCTTTTTATGTGCAATTATTACTTGGCTCGCTTGATTTTTATATCAATAGTAATTTATTTCAGCTTGAATGTAAATTTGGCTTAGTTACTTAATTTTTTAGAGTTGAATATTATTCAGCTAAAAATTTGGTTTTAAAATACATATATATGTGATTAGTTTTAAAGGCTGTACAGCAAAATTGTTGCATAAAAAATTTTAAATGATAGTTTTGAAGAAGAAATTAAAAATCAACACAATTTTAGTTCATTATACATGTATAAATCCTAAATGATAATAGTCATGCGAATACATAACCTTTTACTTTAGTTTCGTGATAAATATCTCTTTAGTAAAGGTAGATGAATCGAATGATGATTTAATTGACCAATCCAAGAATTAAATTGCGTCCGGAGTTAATAGAATTGGAATACGCAAATTTTGATCATCCGGTAATAATAAAAATTTCTCAAACAAAGGTTTCTTATTTTCGTTCATATATGGTACATTACATGAAAAGTGAATCAAGCACCATTAACTGCGCATGTAACTGAAAATTTTTTTATTGAAATAGTTTCAACAAATTATATAAAATTTCAGAAATGAACAAAAATAATAATTATAAAAAATAAAAAAATTAAACCAACTGAAGCGGCCACGATAGCTATCTACGATTGAAAGATGGCGTAAAGATAGTGAAGCGATCGAATAAAGATCCAGAAATGATATCGATGACGCTGCGCAGTAAATGATCAAATCGATTGGATTTCAGCACCTTCGTCCATTATAGCAGCAGAGGCATCATCTTCTTCATTTATTATGGAAAAAAATCAAACTGTGAATCAACTATAAATTCTCATATTTCGATTTTTTAAACATCTCGGGTTTTAAATTGTTGGGAAGTTGAGTTTTCGAAATGTTGGGTTTCGAATATGGATATTCTGAATGTTAAGGTTTTGGGTTATTTGATTTTCGGAATATTAGGTTTTCGAAATTTCGTTTGTCAGGTATAATGACAAAAGGTTTGATTTACCATTTAAATAAAATAAACCTCGAAAATCTTACTAACAGAAAAATTAGCTACAGTCATCTTACAAAAGTTGTCGGAATGGATTTATTTCTTTTCTATTCGATGTAATTTTTAAAAGATACATGTACCAATTATTTGTTTTATTATTTTATTATGTACCTACAAGCACATAAATATATCGACATGTACTGTTACGCTACTTCCTAAAGATGTTGGATCTAAAAGAATTAGAACGCAATATGACGGTGGGAGGCGCTTGGACTGAATGATTTACAAGGAGAGGGGTTCTTTAGTTGTTCTAAAGGTCTCCTGCGATAATTTTTACAAATATTATTATTTGGATGCTTAAATGGGTGTGAAATAAGGTGCTGAAAAGGGGTATTCGGGACAAAACTAAAAGAATGGTTCGCAAAGGAATATAGGTAGTTTCTGCTTACTACAAACACAAAATA